AGTAAGGAAACGGTCAATGTTATCGACAACCAGTACCTTCCTAATGTTTCGCATAACACAGCCGATGTCACGGAACATCGATCTAAAACCTTTCAAAACAAGCCGGGGAAGTTTTATTGCCACGGCTAATCTATAATATAACTGGTGTGAGATCTTAAGTATTTGATGTTAATTCTAAATAAAAGATCTTATCGTATAGTAGCCACCTCGTGTAATGACTACTTTTTACCAAGAACACGTTGTTTACGGTACTTAATAGACGTTTTCTTTCATAGAACTAACCTTAGTTCACGCCTTCCCGAAAAAAAAAGACAGACTATAAAGAAAAGAAAACATGTCGTCAATAAAGTACAAACATATTATACTCACATTTAACAAGAGGGATAACACACTTCTCCCTGTGATTGTTTGAAAGTGGCGTTTATGTGAATAAAACAGAGAAAGCTTCTGGATGATGGCTTCGAGAATGTGTTCTATGTGAAAAAGCGAGAGAATTTTGCTGGCTGATTGCTTAGAAAATATATTATCAATATGGCCTAGAACTCGATTCCCAGTTTTGGTTAAAGAAATAATTGTCTGTGAGGATTAAGGCACGATTCCCAGTTTCGAAAGAAGATTATATATTAAATACAATGTTGAAAAGGTTAATTATAATTTGAAATAATTGCAATCTGATTAAAATACAGATATATATTTCGTTTCGTTTTTTATACTTTCGATGGCCTCTACTACATGAAGATCTGATCAGTTGTAGTGGGAGGTCGTGTCAGTAGGTCATACGGGTGGCTATTGGCTCCATGACGTCAGATTTTTGATTAACTAATCAGCGTTGATGTTTCTGCTGGGATACCCACAGTTCCGTGCAACGCACGCCAAGAACTCGCCGTAACAGACCGCTTCATTGGCTAATCCCTCACACCAATCGGAACGTGGGTTATATAACAACTCTTCCAGATCCTAGTGTAGTAAAGACAAGTAAAATGAAATTCTGAACTATAAAAAAAGAAACGAAATAGGTTCTGTGTTTTAATCAGATCGGAATAATTGCGGATGTTAGTTTGGGAATTTGTTGAAAGTCAATGGCTATCTTCATCTTTCCATAGTAAAAAATATTAAAACAAAAAGGTTTATTTCTAGACTAAACTAAACATTGTAAACCATATCCGTCTTCAATGTCCCAGTTGGTGTAGAAAAGAAGAACGTTAAACCCTATTTTATTTATTCATTCATTAATTAAATTCAAGTGCACTAAAAGAGTCTAAAATCAGACAGAATAACCCAATAAAATTTTACAAAGATCCAGTGATAATTGTATCTTTTTCAAGGCAAATTGGATAATTACATACCATAAATAGTCGGACATTAATAAGAATCAACACTGTATTGTGTTGGCATAAAAAAAAATTCATAAAGATCCAATGCTTATTGTCTCTCTTTTAATTATAAAGCTAATATCAATATTACGAACAGAGGGACTGGCTTATAGGAATATATGACCAAATTGAAACCTCGGCATATAAAAGTAAAATCGATTAGAAAACAATAAGACGAACCAAATGACAGTGGGTAAAATCAATGAAACCCTATTGTAAAGAAAACAAGTTATTAAGTAAACATTAAGAGTCTCTACACTGTCATTATTTTTTTATTTGTGTTCATGTACCAGACAGTATGTGAAGATTTCTGTTTCTAGCTCTTGCTTGAACAATTTATTTATTTTTTATTTTTTTTTTACAAGTTAGTGTTAGTTTGTATAATAATATACGGGAGCTATGATGGTAAAGTAAAAAAACAAAAACAAAAACGGGTGCCTTGTACGGGTGCAAGCTTACTCTTTCTAAAACACCTGATACAGCTTTTCATTTGAGCAGTTCATGCGGTTAAATGTGTAGTACCTGTTATACCTGTTATAATATGTGCAACGTAATGTGTCATAGATATGACTAAATTGCCAGATATTTAATTATACCGTGATAATGATTTTTAAACAGAGAGAGAGAGAGAAATGAGGTTTAACGTCCACTCGACACAAACTAGGTCATTTCGCGACTAACACATGGTTCAATTTTATTTCAATAATTCGCTTGCGCGTAGGAGTCTTTAGCAGTGGGAGGAAACCGGAGGACCCGGAAAAAACCCACGAGGTTGGACAGGCGACCCTACTCCTTGTCACGTGCAACCGGGGATTCGAAACCATGCCAGATTACTCAATGACAGGTCGTGTGATACAGCGCGCACATGCTAACCATTCGGCCATCCAACCCCCCTATTTTAAACAACTCGATAACTACAATAATTTATTCAAAGAGTGGGCCAACAGAATTACACGAGACAAACCCGCGGAGAGGACATAATATACACGGAAACCTCAAACAACAAACGTGCATGTCATCCTGGAGCAGCCCATCGCACACCGGCTATCATTTGTTGACCGAACAAAGTTTTCCGACAAAAGTTAGTCGATGTGGGTTGGATTTCAACACGAACATTTGTTAGCCGAACAATATAATCTCCAAGGACCTCGATGCACATTGCCCATTTGTCTATGCCCTTGCGGTAGAAGTCTTCTGACTGTCCCCTCTGCCACGCCTCAGTAGCGGCCTTGAGTTCATCGCTTGGGGCCATATCTGGACTGTAGGGGGGATGGTCAAAGCCACATTGTTGAAGTGCAGCCTGTGCAATACGACTCTTTTTGCACTGGAGCGTTGTCATGAAGAAGCATAGCTCCAGCAGTCAACATGCCGCGCCTCTTCTTCTTGATCGCCGCTCTCAATTGCTTCAACAAGTCAGCGTAGTAGGTTCCTGTTATTGTAGTTTTAGGTGGTTTATAGTCTATAAGTATCACGCCCCTTGAATCCTAGAAAATGGTCGCCATGATCTTGCCAGCAGAAGGCTGAGTTCTGAAATTCTTGGGTGCAGGAGAGTGCTTATGCTTCTATTGCATGGATTTCTTGCTTGGTGTCAGGATCCCAGTGATGAATCCACGTTCCATCCCCTGTAACCAGACGGACATGAAAGTTATCGAGATTAGCATTGTAGATGTCCAAGAGCTCACAAGTGGATTCATCTCTCTGGTGTCGATATTGTGCATTTAAGTTTCGTGGCACCCATCTTGCAGACACCTTGGACATGTGCAAGTGCTCATGAATTATGGTGCAAACACTTACATGAGAAATGCCACACTCTAAAGATATCTCGTCCAACTTTATTCTACGGTCGGACATGATTAAGCCCTGGACCCGTGCAACCATATCATCTTTGATGGCTTCAACAGGCCTTTCTGGCCGTGGGTCATCGTCCAAGGAGCTGCGACCCCGCCTAAACTCAACTGACCATTTTGCAACAGTAGAATATTGAGGGGCTTCCTTCCCATACACATTGATCATACTTTTATGTATTTCGGTCGCATTCACCCCACCCCTTCTTTCATGCTCAGTTTTAGAACTCTTCATGATTACATGAGGGTACCTGTGTTCAACAGGCTGTAAATCTCAAGTAAATGATCGGGAAGGGTTGTTTATGTCTGTAAACTGTCGTCAGATGGTCTCTCTCAATAATGACATCAACGATGATGTCATCAGGGGTGCATCAATACTCACTTCTATGAACTTATTGACTTCCCCGTATTAAGAGCAAATGGTAAACTAAATCCAACACAACCGCAACAACCAAAGGGATGTGTATATCAAATAGAGTGCAACTGTGGAAGTTCATGCGTCGGGGAAACAAAACGCCCATTAAACAAAAGGATAGATGACCACAAGTCGAAATCAGCAATCAACAACTCAGTTGTAGCTGAACACTTGAGCCCCAACCCCCGTCACAGTCCAATGTTAAAACACTATGCAAGACTATAAGCAACAAGAGGGCGCGTCGATTGCATAAAGGCAATTAAATACGAAGACACATACCAACTATGAACATATATCAATGATTGTTTCTCCCCAGGGCGTATGACAATCTTATTACATAATCATAGGCTAAGCATAATAATTTATATTTTATTAATATTTAATACTTAACAATATTCTCACCACTATTCAAGATTAATATTAATAATTTAAAGTTTGTAGTGATTACAATATATTTTTTAAAAAAAATTGGCTACTATTTTGCTTTTCGGGGCTGCTGTTATTAAAATTCAATGCACTTAATAGTTCAAATTCTGTCTTTCTAAATCAGGGGACCATTGATGATTTGTACAGTCATTATTTCTAAGGGTTTTTCGTATATTAGTGGAATCACTTACATCAACATGCATATATAAACATTTTTCGTTGATAAGACCAATAAAATTTCATCTTTTTAGCGTGATTATTAAAACCTGATCAATTCATTGTAAATACTCCACAATAAGCTATCCATTAATCAATTTGTGTTAATTTCAGGTAAAGTGTCGTTGATAACATTTTATCTTCTTTCAGCGTTTGTCATTATTAAAACCTAATCAAATCACTGCATATACTCCACAACAAGTTATACAGCGTACTCCATAGAAATGTGACCAGTATATTCCACTTCAATTACTAAATGCCATTGAAACAAAATATTTTGTAAGACCTCTACTTTCCATAATATATGCATACCTAAATTGACATACTTTTATTGGAAATAACTACCCAATAAACACTTTCGTGGGAATGTATTAAAGTATATATTTCTCTGTGTGCAGAATGTCATGAGGCAAATCGCCTCTTTACGCCCCCTTTATTTAAGCCTCTGAAATAACAACTTGTTACACAGTTTGTGGAACCATGGAAACTATCAGTTAAATTGTGTTTCTTATTCATAATACGAAGGCAACGATCATGTTTAAAGACAACAAGACACCACATTCATGTGTTATTTACACTAATCGATCATTATCTCATGCGCAGACTTTTGTTGTGGCTTTCGGATGTCTTGTGGCTAGCTCTACGTGTGTTTTTTATATTAAAAGATTGGCATATTGTCGTGTAGAGATGATGCTTTGACTTTATCTATATATCTTCTAATTTCAGGTCTTTGAAGTAGGGTATCCTCGACATCCAGTTAGCAGATAATGGAGACCGTGTCTGGCAGTGCGGAAACAATGATAATCTTGATAATTATGCTGTCAACATTTGCCTTGGTTGGTTCCATTGGGAATGGATTATCAACGTTTGTGTTTTATAAGATACGTGACAAGACGTCTGCGCAGATTTTTATATTAACCCTTTCAGTGATCGATTTGTTTACGTGCACCGTCATCATCCCGTTTACGATTGTCATGGAATATCTAAATTACACCATCAAATATGACGCCATTTGTAAACTGTATCAATTTCTTATCACGTCCAAAGTTCCCTTATCTGCCTTCATGATGGTGGCAATAGCGTTTGACAGATACTTTTGCATTTGTCATTCTTTAAGAAGAATTGTTAATCCTTTTAGAACAAAAATTGCAGTGGCTTGTATGGTCATTTTTGCATGTGTCCTTGGAATTATAACAAGTTTAAACTATGGTGTGTATTGGAAAGGCGATGGTCAATCGGCGTCTTCACAAATGGGTAATTCGTCTTATCAATACTCGGAATTAATGGAAATGCTGCATGTCAATGGTGGCGAGTATGCACAATTTCTTGAATTTATCCAAAGTCAAAATGCTACTAATATCTCCTTACCAATTGACCCGGAACAGAAAGACGCCAAAATAATATATACGGGTGAATGCCAAGTAAATAAAATTATTCTACATAAAAGTTTTGTGCCAGTGTACCAGAAGATTTATTCCTTTCTGTTTGTGGTGTGCTTAATAATTGGGTGTGTCTTATACGCCCTTATTTACCGTTTTATAAAAACAAGAAGATCAAAGAAGCTCAAACAAAAACTCATTCTGTGCACGTATACACATGGCAACCAAGGGAAAGACGCCACAAAAAGTGTTGTCATTCCGGATGACGAAAAGCTCAAAAATAAAGAGAGTCATCATTTGTTGATTCAGGAAGATACACCGAAACCTATTAATGATATTCATTGTAAGGAACCCCATCGTTTTTCGGAAAAAGCCGAGAAATTACGCGATGAAGCAAGGGCAGCTAATATAAAAACAGCCTTCATGTTATTTATTGTCAGTGTGGTGTATATTTTGGCTTTTTCTCCTGCCTGGTTAATGGCACATCACTTAATTCCTACATATAAAGTGATATTTTACTTATACTTTATCTATAATGTGGCTAACCCTTTTATTTATGCCTTTATGAATCAAACATTCAATGAACACCTTAAACAAATATTCAGATGTTGTAAAAGATAAAGTGTGCTTTAATCTTAGTCTTCTGAAAACAGAAATAAACTAAACAATCTCTGCGACAATGCCTTTATAATCTTATAGTTGAGTGCTTTTTGTTAGGTTGGTACATGTGAGTTTCAAGGAATAGATGATGTATTAAATATAATCTTGACTTTTTGTTGTGATTCTTCAGGGCACACTTTCGAGAACTGAAATCATACCCAGATTTCCAACTGGACTTTCATTCTGCAGATTGATGACAAATTGGGCCCCAACGGAGTCAACTCACTGACTGTTCTGAATTTAACTGGAGGGACGAGCGAATCCCCATTTGAATAGAACATACCCCCAGTGTAAAATAACGCTATCATCACAAAGTGCAAATTCGATATTCTTATTGATTACTGTAGTGAGGTTGTAGCTGATGAAATTGGATGTTATATTTGGGTCCAAATATGCGCAGCAAATCAAAATTGACACCCCGAATGTAAGGTAATTACTGAGTTCGGAATTGTCATGTTCTTCAACATTTTATACTGATGATTTCACCCACAAAATGATAATAACATGGATATATTATTATCATCGACTACTCCATAAATTTTTGACTAAAATAAATCTTTTTATAATGTTATTGATAAAGGAGTAATTAAATAAGTGTTTTTAAGGTTCAAGATGCATTATGTAAGAGCTAAATCTGACTATTGCATGTCATTATTTTGGCTTCAAATGTTATATAAATTATCATTTAGACATTTATCCACATGGCAACCCTATAATCAACTCTCTAGATCTTCGATTGGCGGAGATTTAAACGAAATGAAATACGGTCGCCATTTAATGATTTAATCAATAAATCGTAAATCGAGGCTGAGTTTCGATTACCGAGTACCGTTGCTACGATAATAAACAATCTATGCCACATCTTGTCAAGACTTCAAACAGTGATAATTTCGCTCAGAATAAAGTAATTTGAATGAAATTGCAATATATTCATTTTGTATTATCTATTTTAGAAACAGGAATGGCCATCTCTTTATCTAAATCTTACTCAATGCATCTTGATATCTTGATGTCTTGGCCACGTTCACCTGTGAATGCCCTTCGTTGGAAATGCGGATTAAAAACATAAAACTGTCATTAAATTAATGTGATATTGACAGCTTAGTCGATTGTTTTATATGGTTCACTTCCGAATAAATCAATCATGTGGCAAATATCAATTCCATCAGAGCTCGATTATATATCATGATTTTCGATACACAGGGGTCTAAGTTTAATAGAAATGAGAAAACAACTACAGCCGCTATTTGTCATGATCCAACTAGGATATCGGTAATCAAAGGGGTTTTTTTTGGCTGTTATATTGAAAATTCTTCAAATACGCTAAACAACGATAATGTCTTCAGTGCTACATACATTTGCAAGTCAAATAAGAACTGGATTGTCATATTCCTTCTTTGGAGTCACCCAGTTTGTTGATACACCGAAAAAATAAATCTTATTATTAGTAATGTTCACTAAACACAAACTATGGAATTTCGGAACTAACATACCAAAAATCCGCTAGCAGTGGGAGGGAACCGGAAATCCGACATAAAACGAGGATTGACAGGCGACCCTACTCATTTTCACATACACGCCTTCCAACACTTCCAGCTATTGTGGAACAATGCCTGAAATTGTATATAATGTATTTATATATTATTGTTATTTAAATAAAGTACTTTATAATCTTTATGAAATAAAATGTTAAGATTTTGGCTGTTTTTTTTATTTAGGTATATGCAGGTCCGCAGAAGGAGTATCAAAATGAATTGGTTTGATATAAACTGAACGCCGCCCTAAGCCAGGTTCAAAATGCTTACACGCGAATTCAATTACATTATATAGCTTATTGAAATAGCCATAAGATTAAATTATTATTCTAAGGACGCGGAATTGAGAAAGTAGTTAACTTTGGAATGTGGATCAACCCACATGTACTTTTAATGTCGTCAATGTCGTGAAATCCAGTCTACACGTAGAAACCAACATGTGGGCCATCCTACCTTTGTTGTTCTGTTGTAATCAATGTGTGATCAGGCTTACCTCTTTTACTCTAATCAAACCGGTAATCCTTGCTGACGTAAGTTACTGCTTAAATCCAGAGGTGGGCTACCATATCTTTTTTGTTGAAATCAACGCTTCACTCAGTCTGCTTTTACTGTTATTGCTTTGACCATATGACCCAGTCTACCTTTACTGTTACCACCTTTACCATTTGAGCCAGCCTACCTTTACCGTTATTAACATGACGCTTTGACCCTGCCTACATTTACTAATACTACCTGCAGGATGCCTTGACCTTGCCTACCTTTACCTTGACAGTGTGGCCCACCCTGCCTTCACTGTTACTACCTTGGCCGTATGATCCAGCCTACATTTAATATTACTACCATGCCCATTAATTTTGCCTTGACCGTTTGACCCAGCCTACATTTACTGTTTCTACCTTGACCATATAATCCAGCCTACCGTTATTGGTGTCTATAATATCTTTACTGGTGTAATAAACACTTGACCCAGCCTACACCCATGTAAACCAGGTGTGACCCATCTTATCTTTAATGTTGAAAGGAATCCGTGTTCCAGTCTACCCTTACTACAATGTACTGCATTTAATGGATGCGTGATCCAGCCTACCTCAATTTTCGAAGCAATCGAAACGAGCATTAACCTCATTAACCAGTGCTGCACTACCTATCTTAAAGAGGTCATTCTAATTATAGGTCTTCTGTCTGGGTCCAGATCTAATTTGTTTTCCGGACGATACATTACAATCTTATAACACTCATCACCTTTGTGTTAGGGATACACGTGGCTACCATTGTGACTGTAATCAATGCGTGAAGAGTTTTATCGTGAACAGTTTACGATGAGATCAGAACTTCCTGTATGGTTGACAGAATGGGTATAGTTAGTAAACTCGATTGGAGTTAACCCAGATTATGATGCTATATCCAAACTAACAACGATTATAATGGTATATTCGGTTCCATCAAATACTATCCACCTTTCTGCCGCGTGTTGTTGGTAAAAAATGAAGCCGTGAATCTTCACGAGCTCATCCTGTTTTCCACCAGTACACATAAATATTAAACCCCCAGCACCAAATTGAAGAACTTGATGTTACTGTGGCAGGTAACCGTCGTTAAAACGCAGGCGTGGGCCTAATTCTTGCACTCATTGCGCCTCTTTCTTCCATAAGTAAACAGTGTAATTGCTTGAGCGTCAAATTATGCATCTCTTACAGCGAAAAAACGAAATTTCAAAGGGCATTCCCCAACCATTCAACACCCATGTTCTATTAGTATTATTCCATAACCTTAACATTAAGCATGAATGTTACTTGACACGCACAACAAAGCATTACTTTTAGCAAAACATGATTTATAGCATTTTATAATCTATACTAAGGCCACACAAAATAAATGTCTTGTTTCTCGGGCAACTGACAGCTGAAACTGTAGGGAGGGAGGGCGGTTTCTTTTTTTTTTTTTACTCATTGATGGTGCAAAATAAAATTTGGCTATTGCTGAAAATTGTTGGGGCGGGAGGGCGGTCTTTCTTTTTTTTTTTTTAAATGAGAAAGTCATTACTTGTTTACGTTTTTGCTTTCCGTTATATTCAACTTTATTGTACATACTTAAAACATAAACCCAAAATCAAGTCTACTAAAACACTGAGACTGAACACTGACTGAAAGGAAAATAATTTTCCATATTTAATTCACATAATTGAAATTGGTTTAAAATAAAATTCCATACGACTATGTAATAGCCCTCCATAAAGACAACAATATTTTTAAAAACTAAGCCTCTTTCACCAGGTGTATCAAAAATAATAATCATGGTAAACAGTATTTAAAACTAAATCTAGTATCGCCGGTTTATTTATAATTATTTACCGAATTCCAACCAATGCATGTCACACCGTGTCATCGGTATTGGAGATTGCCGGAAATACTGTTTCTTGGGATATTCGGTGTGTTTCTCAGGATATTCGGTGTTCTATCCGGTGTTTATATTGAATGACTATTTAAATCTAACTAACAACTGGTCAGTAAAACCATCAAATCGGTAATCCAATTATTATTTTCCGGATTATCGAAACTACCGTAAATGTGCTAATAATGACCCAGATTCTAAGGTATGCATTATGACGACTATCGTCATCGTATCGTATTCTTAGCTATAATTAATTAACCTGTTCTACGGTTCATTATTTTATCAATAGGATTTTCCAAACAAGGACCGACTGAAGCCGGCAATAATGAGCCGATTACGATCGAATGATGGAAATATTGTCGCCAATGACTTTTAACACGAATCAAATTCTAGTTTATCAGGGGAGGTAATTAATATCACGTGATACAAAATGGAGGTTCTTTCGATATCAATAAAAAAGGCAAATCTGCCAAACTTCGCCATTGTTCGGATAAAAAAGACAGCATGTTCATCTGAATCAGTTTTAATACATTTGAATAGATATACATGTATGGCGGATGTAGGTACATGCGGGATATTTTTTTTACGACTTGCTTGTCGATGTGCGGGCGGGCGTTACATATTTTTTTTTTTTCATCAAGACTAATTATAAATAGACTGCACGCGCAACCAATTTTGCGTGCGGGCGGTGCCCGAGAAACAAGTTATTTTATTTGTGTTGCCTAATATAGATGTCGTTGTCTGTCTGTTCAGGGTTGGCGGCTATTGTAGGGCTGCCCCGGGGCTGAAATTTGGTGTATAGGGGTAGCTCAGCTCAGACCGGGGAGTAACATAGGCTAGGTGCACTCGGCAAACCTCGGCAGACTCCGGAACCCTAGTGGCTACCGGTTTACTTATTTGGAAAATTTGCCGGTTTTACAAAGAAATTCTCTATTATGACGTCATTCGAAGAGTGTGTGGGCTTTTCATTGCAAAGCTGTCCTTTGTTTAAGGAAAATTGGATAAACTTGAAAGTACATAACAAACAATATTCGGTTTCTTAACATAAAAAAAAAACTCTTCACATGCGTCTTCGTGTGCCCAGCCATTTTTATTCGAGGTTAGATGTAGGGTATCGGAGTCTGCCGAGGTTTGCCGAGTTAGGCTCGGTGGCGTTGGCCCACCGTTTCCAGTTATCAGCTAATATCATGTTGTTTGTTAACATCCGCTAATATCATGTTTTTGTCTGCGATATCACCTCGGTGGAAGCGGACGTAAAATACAACTAACACGCACACATAACCGGGTTCAGTGTTGAGCAGAGCAATGATGTTAAGTCGTCTTGTCCCATGGCGGTTCTCAAGTTTTCATACGCAACAAGCCACTGAATGAACGTTATGTTGTATAAGAAGTTGCTAGTATCACAGCAAATAAATGCATCCGCAGTAGGTCAGCAGGCTACACGTGATCTCTTGGACATTATTCCAGGGCCTTATTTTTATTTCAAGTTTATCATTTGTCTGATGAACAGCAATATGTATTTATCGTGTGAATTGATTCTGGTGTGTGGGATATTGTTCATTCTATTGTTTTATTTTCTCCAACTAAGACTTGCTGACGCGTAGGCCTACTCCTTGAAATTCTGGTCGCGATAAAAGAAACTTCCTTGTCCGTGAGCCAGTCTTTTGATTTTTCACCGAGGCTGAGTAGAAAATCACTAGTCTTCGCTTCTCCTAAACCTGTGTAAACCAGTTCATATTTCAGCAAATAGAGGGGTTAGAATTATAATTTTTCAATGATATAATATAGGGTTTTCCATCAAATAGAGAGTGAAAGAAGAAATAAACATAAATATTTTACATATAAGTTGATTTATTAAATAGTTATTCAGATACAGTGTTAAAAGTAAATATATTAACTTTAACCTCTAAAGCGTCCACTAGATTATTCAAAGTGATCAAGGGCAATAACTATGGCAGTAAATATGGGAAATCGTTGAAAATCAATAGACTCCTTCGTTGCATGGCGTTAAACACTGTGTGTAAATTTAAATTCAATCGGATGTAAACTTTAGCCTCTAGAGCGTCACAGGAACTTTTGCACTGCTGGTGCTTGAGAGTATAACTTTACCAAGTGCGAAATCAAAATCACAAACAGTCCTTAACAATGCCCAGTCTGTCAGTTTAAATTTGAACATTTTGTTTCTGCTAAAAGCCAGTAGACACTTGATGAATCGCTACAATCGTTCAAGAACAACTTTTACTGCCCCCAAGTAACAAGACTATCAAGTTACAGTCAGGAATTCCAAACTCTTCCCAGAGGATTAACGTCAGATTTTGTCATTGAATAGAAACGTCTATAAAGTAGTATAGGCTTTGGATTGGACTAAGGGCATTTGGTATTGCATCTTGAGTTGCTAGGTTTAGAAGATGACAATATGTAGCACCATGGGCCTTATGTCAGACGTGGAGAGCGGACGTTGTCAAACCGGTCGCCACATCCTACGTATGACCCATGCATCTTTTCTTAATACATATTTTAGTAGCCTTGTGATCGTCTAGTATTTTCACCTGTCGTCTTTCTTCCCCTTCACGTTGTGTTTTTACTTCTTACTGTTTTCTTAAGACGTTTGTCTTCTCGGTAGTTATAACAATGCAACAGTTCGTTTTTACATTTTATATATCATAGCCGGATACATGGATACAAGCATAGTATAGATTACAATACTAAAGTCATTTACTTAAACCTCA